TTTGGTGAACCAACGAGCATACAGATAATGGGAGGCTTTGTTCCTATGGCAAGCAGATAATGTTTTTTCGTTGATGGGTGCCTTTGTGCTCCTTGCTGTGCTTTATTGGTGAAATAGTTTGCCATTCCAGCTCATCCACTGCTTGCCTATTTAGTGTCTTTAAATACGTTTTAGCCGAATCGAGGATTCTGTTTTTGGCAAAAGCTGAAGTTGTCTATATGATTTGTTTCATTTAGCTTCAGGTAGAGTCATAAAATAGAACTCAAATAATTTGAATTTTTTAGTAATTACTCGATTGAATTTTTAGGGTTGAGTTGAGTTTATGAATCCTGCATGATATATATATATATATATATAATGTATATGGTTATAGAGAACCTTTAATTGGAATTAAATAGTACCATAACATTATAAATATTTAAAATTAAATTTAAAAAAAAACTTGAACAATTCGACTCGACTTGAAATTTTTTTTAACTAAAATTTAAATTATCAAATAAAAATCGTCAACTCGAATATTTTTTTTTAAAAAAATTTTGACCGTGCTGAACTCAATTGAATACGAACCCTTAACAACATCTCCATGTTCATCAAAGCGGGTGTTTCCCCTAATATTTGAGTACTATAGATTAATGATTGGTTTTATTTTGATGGATTTCAGTGCTAGTTCCCTCAATTTACTCGAAAATCCTCAAATTAAGCATTCAATGTTCAAATTTGTAATTGTATTTCAGATATCTAAAAGTGTTTTTTCGACCACAATTTGTTAGTGGAGTCGATGAATGCTTTTGATTGGATGCACTTTGGAATTTAAGTGGTGTCTTCCACATGGTAGGGCAGGGAGATCGAAAACCCTTGAACCATATTTTTTTTGGGGAGAAGTCATACTCCTCAATACTAAGGGTCATACTCACAAAGAGCTGGGAGGTCCTCGTCGAAGCTCCATGGTGTGTTGTCATCCATCGAACGAACTTGAAGAGGAACATGTTGAGTCGTAAACAGTTAGCTTAGATCAGCTTTTTCGACCCCCAAACCAACTTGAAGACTTTGAGAACCACATCTCCATCTGTGGATCTAAGGGTGACGAGTTTGGCAACCACCCAACTATCCAAGACCTCGAAGGCTTGAAGTTCTTGCACACGAGAAGTCTCAACAATCGTGGCTTCCTCGTCGTAAATTTTAACAGACCCGTCAGGTGCATGACCTCTTCAGACGTCGGAGCAGAAGGCTGGTATGAAGAGAATCCGTTCACACAAACAAAGAAGTGTGTTATGGTCGAAACTAACGACCAAAAACCGTCAAGAAGGGATGAATTGACCTTTAAAAATCTTAGACATGAAAGCAATAAAAGATAGAAAAATTGGCACAATGATATATAATTATTCGACTTCTCAACTAAGTCTAGATCCACTACCTTAGCTCCACACTAAAGATTTTCTAATAAATTCACTAATTTATTATTTCTTTTTCTAGACTCAAGATTAACATTTATATTTCTCTAGTTTTTTTAAAGTTAAATTAGAATCACTTCCCTTTAAAACAAAAGTTTAATTTGGATAAATTAACAAGAATACTTCTCTAAATAGATATTTACAATGATTAAACTCACAACAAAAATACAGTTCAGATTTATTATGAAAGTTTTTTTATGCATTTGTTTAATATCTAAATACAACAACTAAACGAATATCTTTTAGAAAAATATACAAGACTAATAAATTTACATTCTTTTATCATTTCGCTAATAGTTATTTTAAAAAATATTTTTTATAAATATACATTTTGACGTAAAATATATTAATAAAATTGAATATAAACATGGAAAGTGATTAGAAAAGACGAGCATTATTTATAAGTGGAAGGGCAGTGACTGGCACATGCTACTGTGCCTTGGGTTCAATCAAACGCTAATAATGAACGAAGGGTAAGCTTTCATTTCTGTTAGTATGCACACATCACTTCTTTCACTACCATGTGATGTGTCTTATTTATATTACTACTCGTGTTATTCAACGATACGGTTGAAGTTAGTCTCTCTTTTTATTTTTTGTTTTTTTTATTTTTTATCGCCTTTTCGATTTCAAAATTTTATTTTGACTATTTTAGACCGACCCACGTCGCATATATGATTTTGGTTGTGAATCTCTCAGTAGGAATTTTTTGCATACATAAGGATTCAAACTCTAGATTTTACTTAATCGATATCAAATAATTTACCACTTAAACCAAGTCCTGTTGGTTCATATTTTTTTTAATTTCATCATAATCTCATACAAAAGAAATTGTTAAATCTTTTTTTTTTCTGAATAATTAAATAAGCTAACTAAATTAAGCAATGAAACTTCTTTTCTCTCTCAATTTCTTTTAATATTGGTTTGCTATAAAGTTTAGTGGAAATTAGAAGCTTAATTGATTAACATAAACCGCTCTCACCCTATTTTCAAAGATTATATATCTCCAGGAGCATGTGATGTGTCCATTTATATGATCATCATGGATAAGTTAAAAATGACAAAATGGTCACGTTGCCATTTTCATAGTTACAATGTACATATTTGTCCTATAAATAAAAGAAAATCTTTTAAAATTAGACAAGTATGAGTTCATTTGGGAACTAGAGACATTGGTACTAACCTTCTAGGACCCAAAGCATTTTGGGTACCAAAATCCAAATGAATGTCTCTTGTTCATCATAATGAATTTTGGTCAAAATCGGTTTTAATACTTTGTTTTTTTTACAAATTTTAATTTTTGACATAAATTTAAATGTTTTCTCTTGTTAAATTTAGCAGTGTCTTACGTTTCTGTTTATATGTAGAGATTTTTATGCATGAATTTATTTGCAGGGATTACTTCCCATTACAAATGCGCATATGAAGACTGCATATGAAGACTGTTCAACTATGTTTTTATTTATTTATACATTCATTGCAGTTTATCTTTATTTTTAATTTTCTGACTGCTGGAGATCTTACACGGAAGCGGCTCCAAACCTGGCGTTGGGAGCAACCTACTACCCTACCTCCTCTTACCCCATTGCATATGAAAATAGTGTTTTGTTGTTGTTGTTGTTAAATGTTTATGCATGTGATTTAATGTAAATAATATATCTCTAACAATTGTTATCATGATGATAACTGCTTGTTTTGTGATGGCTTGGAGACTTAGAATCATTTGTTCTTTGAGTGCGCTTTTTCTAAGGGCATTTGGGAGGCTATTCTAGCTCGACGTATGGCGGCTATTCTAGCTCGAGGGTAAGTCGTTGATTGCATTTATCCTCAGGATTGCTCGTAATGCTCTTGTTTATTGGGTGTGTCTAGGGAATATCATGTTATTTTTTATGCTATTTGTGATTTGACTCGGGTTAAACGTGTGCATAGGAAAGTTGACAGAGGGAACAATGTTAATAGAGAACTTTGTGAGAGTTGGGGATGCTCATTGTAAGATGTCCATTTTTTTTTTGCTGGATGCCTGTTTGTTTTGTAGTAGATTTTTCTGCTTCTTAGATAAATACACACATACTTATCCAATTTATATTTCTTTTTATTAAGTGATTTTAATGATAAAAGAATATCTTAAATTTAAACAATATCACTAACATATGTACGTCATTAATGAAGTTAAAATTTATTTGAATATTTATTATTCTATAATCCCTGAAATTACTAAAAGAAAAAGGAGAGAGAGTATACATTTAGAAGCAGCACATTCCACCATTTTCTTGTTTACATTGTTCCTATCTCTTTTATTAACAAATAAACTTTTCCACCAGTGGGACTTGACTATTGAAACTTTTAAAACTATGTTTTGCTTGCGTGGCATTTGGTGGGTCCGCCCATTTCAATCACGTGGCAGTGTGTGTCTCACGCTTCAATTTACGTTTCCTATTTCTTATTTCTTTTTTTGTTTTTCGCTTGGAAGTTTTTTATTTATATTTTTTTAAAGGTTGACTTAATATTATTACGACTTATTAAGATAGCGCTTATATAATATCTTATGATATTTCTTACTTTGGACTCTTAGATTGGATTTGGATACTTGATTTGTATTCGTTGATAGCTTTTCACGTTGCTCGAGTTTAATTTATGATTTGTCGATGGTCTTTCAATAGTTTGATTCCCTTTTGTAGTTCGTTTGCCGATACGATAAGACGTGTTTGTATCTCTTTTTGTTCAAGTTTCTTGGTTAGATTTAATATTTCCTTATGTGATCTTAAGTTACTAGTTATGTTTCAATGATTATAAGAAAATTTTCTAATTATGTGTTTAATTTACGATTTTGATTGTAAATCTTTATTGTAGTTTAAGATATTTCCTATTTTGAATAAAATTAGTTACTTCTATATAAAAAAAAGTATTTTTTGTTACAACATTGACATACTTTTTGGGTTTACAAAAAGACTCATTATTAGTATTTATTCATGAAACAAAAGTGAGTATTTGTTTAGTTTACCTCTAAAATAAAACGGGTTAACAACATCCTTAGTCCCTGAAGTCTTTAAAGTTTTTGAAATTGAAAATTTCTAGAGTTTAGTAACCAAAATAGAAGAGAAAAAAATAGTTGAATGATGAATAATATAATTTATTCAATCTATAACAGAAGGAATTAACGAAATCATTGGTCAACGACCAAAAACATTGATCAAATGATTGTATTAAGTTCTTTTTTCAAGCTGAAAGATCACGTTGATCCAAAAAATAGAATGAGGACCTCGAGTTGGAAAGTTCATTGGATTTGTGTGCCTTTTTGCCATTAAAAAACCCTCTGATTTTATTGGACTAATTTATAAAAGTAATTTTAAAATAAAAGTAGAGGAAAGAAATATGAAGCCAAAAACTTATTAATAGGGTTCAAAAACCTTTTTACAAATGGGTTACCTAGAAGCATCCTTTTTCAGCCAAGCGTGGGTTCAAACTTGAAAAACAAAAGAAGGATACCATCGATGTGTACCCCTGCTTATTCTAATGCATAAAATGGAAGATATAACTCCTCAAAAATCTTAACACCCCATTCAACCCCCTCCACCCAAACAAAATGTCCAATCTCGCATTAGTATTCTCACCAAAACACCTCCACCGACACCACCCCTGCATCCTTCTTTTCCTCCTCATCTCAGCCGGTATTGCTGCCGCTTCCTCCGCTAGTACCACCGTCAATTACCAAAGGTTCAAAGAAGCTCCGCAGTTTTATAACGCTCCCACTTGTCCCTCCATCGACATTAATGACACCAACGAAATGTGCTCCCCTCAAGCCGTTCATGTTGCAATGACACTCGACGCCGCCTACTTGCGCGGTTCAATGGCAGCCATATTTTCCATCTTACAACACTCTTCTTGCCCTCAAAACATCATTTTCCACTTCGCCGCCTCCGCCACCGCAGACCGCCACCACCTCCGCTACACGATCTCCCGCTGTTTCCCTGCCCTTAAATTCCAAATCTACCCATACGACTCCTCCGCAGTGTCCGGCCTCATCTCCACCTCCATTCGCTCGGCACTGGACTGCCCTCTCAACTACGCCCGCAACTATCTCCCTAATCTCATCCCTCAATGCGTACGCCGAGTCGTTTACTTAGACTCAGACCTCGTCCTCGTCGACAACATCGCTAAACTCGCAGAGACACCGCTTGAAGACGATTCCGTTTTGGCCGCACCCGAGTACTGCAACGCCAACTTCACTTCCTACTTCACCCCAACTTTCTGGTCAAACCCTACACTATCTTCAACATTTGCGGATCGAAAAGCTTGCTATTTCAACACTGGGGTAATGGTGATCGACTTGCAAAGATGGCGTGAAGGAGACTACACGAAGAAGATCGTTGAATGGATGGAGCTTCAAAAGAGAATAAGGATCTACGAGCTGGGTTCTCTGCCACCATTTCTGCTTGTGTTTGCAGGGAAAATAGCGCCCGTTGATCATAGATGGAACCAGCATGGGCTCGGAGGAGACAATTACAGAGGATTATGTAGAGATTTACATCCCGGACCGGTGAGTTTGTTGCATTGGAGTGGGAAAGGGAAGCCATGGGTGAGACTCGATGCAAACAGTCCTTGCCCTTTGGATGCTCTGTGGGCTCCTTATGATCTTCTGCAAACACCCTTTGCTTAGGAATCTTAGAATACTGGTACATGTTCAACAATAAATCCTTTTTTCCTTTTCTGGGCTGAGATTTTTAGCTTCAATGATGCCAACCCGAGTGGAAAATTAAGATTCTACAGCTAAGGGAGCATTAACAATCTAAATACAATCTTTGCTGCTGCTTTTTTTATCTATGTATTGCCGAGAACAGTGTATAAAATAGATAATTAAGGCTAAAATATTTTCACTTTTCATGTCCAGTCTTCCCTTTTTACGTTTTTGGCACGTTGAATTACTTGCATGAATTTTGTCTGACCATAATAACCTAAATTCAACGCACGACCATTTGAAAAACTAGGTGTTGGACCTACCAATGTCAAGTTTAATTTAAATTCACCTTGTTTTACTCCACAATTTAAGACTCTTCGATTTACATGGATTCCTAGATTTGACCCATACCTTATTATAATGCCAGTACTTCTCCAGCTTTGTCAACCATGCATATGTAATATCTTCAATTATTAATTTAATTACATTTCATCTTTATTTATTTTTAGAATAATTATTTCGATATATATTGAACAACACTTTATACTATTCATGATAAGCTATATATAGCAAGAATCAATTTACTAGTACAGTATTTTTAGCTTTTTGATTTTTTGTTTGCTATCTTTCCTTGTCATTGGTTGTAGACTGTCTACCAAAAACGCACTATCTTTATCATTGATAAAATTAAAATAAAATTTAATGCTTAAATTATAAAGTAGAAACGTTATTATCGATTTGAATTATTAGATTGATAAAGTTGTTTGGATGGGCATGAACTGAATTCCACGGATTACGATCTGATTCGACTTAATCGGGTTATATTTTTTTTAATTTTGGGTTTGGATTAGGTCGGATCGAGTTTTTTTAAGGTGATGTTCGGGTCGGGACGGGACGAGTTTGAGTTTAGGGTAAAAAATATCCGACCCGACCCAAAAAATGTATATAATTTTACCTTATATATTTAAGAATAATTATAATAATACCCCTTTATATATTTTTTTTCTTCAATTAAGTCAATGTTTTTATTTAATAAAAATATTTTTTTCTTTGTCATGACATAACACAATGAAAGTATAATTCAACTTTTATTTGACCGTAATTTTAAAATAAATTAATTTATTTTTTAAAATCACTTATCTTAAAAAATTAGCTAATGATATTTTCATATATAATGGGGTGAGGAGGAGGTAAGGTAGTAAGCTGCCCCCAATGCCGATTGAGAGCAGTTTCCGTGGAAGACCTCCGACAGTCAGAATTATAAATTGCTCACCGTGAGACTCGATCCCACGACCACAAGGTTAAAAACCTTGCGCTCTACCAACTGAGTTGGGCGGGTAACTCAAAAATCACTTATCTTAAAGTGTGATGTTAAAAAAATTGAACTTATTAATTCAACAAGTCAAAATTCATCAACTTTAGATTTTTTCCCATGCCACCCTAGATTCCACTAAGATAAGTCAATAATGTAGAGTTTAGAATAATTTTTTAATTTTGGTCAATTAAATATTAAATAACTACCAGAATATATGTTGGTTGTCGTTCGTCTGTTTTTTTAGTTTTTAATTAGAATAATTAATAATTATGTCTTTGTGACATGTTTTATGCTTTTATTGTATGTTTTGTTATGTCTTTGTGGCACGTTTTTCTCTGTCTTTTGGTAGCTTATGGTTTTTTCCTTTTTTCGTTTATCTTTTTTTCACAGGGTTGGATTTGACATAGCCACGATTGATCAAAATGACACCTATTTGTTATCATTATGATCTTCCTTGCTTTGGACACTCGGTTAACTTGAATATGCGTTTTGCGCTCGTGGATAGTTTTCTCACGTCGCTCAACTCTGATTTGCGATTTGTTGGTGGTCTTTAAGTAGTTTTATCCTATTTTGTGGTTCATTTGCTGATGCAGTCAGATTTGTTCATATTTTTATTTTATTCGAGCATTGGTTAGGTTTTTTTAACCTTTTCCTTTTATGGTCCTTGTGTGATCTAGGTGGCTAGTTTTTGTGTCAATGGTTATAGGAAAATGTCCTAATTATAATTTAATTTACATTTACGGTTATACTCGTAAATCTTCATTGTAATTCTGGATATTTTCTATTTTTAATAAAACTAGCCGGCTTTATATATAAAAAAAAGATCAAACAAATAAAATTTGGATTCTAGAACCTGGCATTAGAGGTTAAAAAGCCATTAATAAATGAATTAATTGGTTAAATAGAGTAGGTCAGAAAAATAACTCAAGTGGCTGAGGTGAGGTATTTCAATCCAATTTCGGATTTTGCAGCGCTGGACTTGGGCTTTTCATCTACTGGAAGCTCAAATTAAGTCTCTCATGGCTCGTGTGCTGAAGCAGAAATTGCAATGATGGAGATGCCACCTCATTATATATATTTTTTTACTTACTGATAACTCATGTAATCTTTCCTCATTACATATATGATTGAATTAAAACAATTTTCTGTTTTATTTTAACTATCATTTTACTCGATGCACAAAAAAATATATATGAACTTCAAATTTAATGATATCCAGAGCCGAAGGGGAAACGACAAAATACGTATTTAGTTTATCAGTAATTAATAGTTTGGAGATCAATAATTCATTAATAATAGATCTTCATATAGACTAAAGCTTGTCGATTTTTCAAAAGCTCGCATTCCTCAAAAGTAAACCCTTTTATCAATTATATTATATTAAGGAGATCAGACAAAACTCGTGACATGTTCACATGACTTATTAGAACGAAATTCAAGGTCTAAGATCAAATATACATATGAGTCTACAAATAACCATAATAACCTTAGGTTGACACAAACACCGAAAACAACTATAAATATCTTTAACTGAGATTGGAATAGAGGCTAAATAGCCTTCACAACCCTTTACGTCGGTTTCTTCTTCCTTCATGACCAATTCTCTCCTCCACGTAAACATTGGTCATTGTTATTTGTCTAAATCGAAAGAGGTGAATTTTTAGTCGCTAATAACTTTTTCACTATTATATTAGTGTCAATTTTCATTATTTTATAATAATTATTTATATTTTTATTACTATACTTTTTTACACAAAAAATTAATCCTTGTTGATTAATGCTTCTACTTTGATTTAATCTTTTACTTCTATAATTTTATTAATTAATCCAAATAATTAACACCATTATTTTTATTCTATTGTTCAAAGTGACATAATTTGATCCTCCACTTTTAATTAATCCAAATGACTAACACCTCACTTTTTCTTTGTTCAAAGTTAACACATGAACTATCACCAATAAAATCTAATATTGATTTTTCCATAAGACGAACAAAAAGTGAAGATAAAAGAGACAAAATTTTCAAAATTTGCAGATAAAAACCAGTGATCATGCATAAACATAAGCTTACACGACAACCATGTACTTATCAAGGCATTTAGCTGATATGGAAACTTAAAATCAAGGCTTAACTCCTTTACTTGCTACCGCGTAGTGTCCATAATCTTCTCCATCACTGGTCACTGTCTCTCTGAAATATTTGTAGTAAATGTACTGAAATATGATCTGTCGTAAACAGTGTTAAGGTTCAACATTATCAACAGTGTAAGCAAGCAATAATAATCAATTGCATGATTCGATCATTAACTAGATGGAAAGGATACAAATAAGTCGAGTGCCACGCAAACTACAGCATCCAGCAACCATGGCATGTTAGCCTTAATGCTTTCCCATTCAGTGGTTCTCACCACAATGCTGTGCAGCAGCCATTAAAGATGATGCTTTAAACGAGTCGAATTGTTGCAGAATAAAGTAAAAGTGGATGAACAACTATGTGAGACAGAGCAAACCTCGCCACGTAAGTAGCATTGGCCGTCAGTGCAAAGATGAACATGAGAGGATTCAAGCCCTGCATTATTTTCCACGCATTTAACCGTTTAATCACTCAACGTGTTTTAAAAGCAACACAAATACATTGATGTTTAGACTTGGAAAAAAAGTATTACGTACCTCCACACTGCCTCTTTTGATCTGATCAAGAATAAAAAAAGAACCGATGATTTTGTTAAAGAAGTGAGATTTTATTCTGACTACAAAGAAAAAGTATGGTTTCTTAATTGAACTCGTTGTTTACATTTAACCATATCTGAGGGATTCGACCTCCCATGTATATGGCAGCCATTAGCCATCCCAGCCATTGTCCAAAAGCACTATGCTCCATACTGTGTTCCTGCGGAAAAATCCAATGATTCAAGAACAATTGTTGTTTGAATTAACCATGAATTTATCATACCTGTAGCAGTCTTCTATTGGTAAAACCAGTTTTGACTTCCATCGAAGCCTTACTTCCTAGTGGCAAGTTGACTGATGCAGCTAAAAATGTACCATAACTTGCAGCCTGAAAAAATAATCATACCTATGTCATTCAATACCTCTCATGTTTAAAATCAGTTAGCAAGTTCAAGACCCACCACTCCCGGAATCGGCCGAGGTCGAGTTCTGGACTTATGGGACAAAACCGGACCCGATTCATCTTCAGATGACGAACCATTCTCAAGTGCCATAGCGGAAGGACCACTTCTAGCTACCCTCATATATGTTCGAAAAGGTGGAGTGCCACTACCAGCCAGAGATCGGGCCAACCTGAAATAGAATAATATTGTAGATGTCTCATGGAATTAGCTCTTCATACAATAATAATGAAACAAATGTACAATAAAATATGAAGAGTAGAGAAGAGCACGTGTAATAGAACTCCCTTCGATGATGGGTTCTCCCCTCTGCCTTAGGTATGGGAATTCCCGACTCATCTTTTCCAGGTTTCAAAGGCTCTTTCTCGTCTTCAACCTAACATTACATTAAAACATATTCATGAAACCATGTCTGAAAAAAGAACCCATTTTTCTTATCTGCAGTAATAAAAAAGAACAATGTCAAAGCTGTGTACCATGCTTTTGGTTTTCATCCCTCTACATTTCCACCACCTGCTGATATAGTCATAGTATACACTTTGCAGCACCAGAACCACTGTACTTATTGTATAGAGCTGACGAACAAAACTAGGCAATTTAATTAGCGTTCTCATAAGTAATATAATTTCACACGTAACAAAAATTCAAGACAATATCACAAAGTGTACCACTTATTACAAGATGTTGGTAGACAAAGATTGGGTTTGTTCTATATAAGAAATGGACCGAGTCCAAGATGTTGAGTTGGGCCATTTTAAGTTGTCCAAACTGTTTATTCAAAAGTAGTCCTCATTTTGTAATTATAAAATAGATGGAGGGTTTAATACGTAATGAAACGTTTAGACCTAGAAAGTAGCCATAAGTGGTAAGTTGTACCAGAGCTGTGTAGAACTGAGTCGGCAACTGCATACACAAAATATGGAAAAGTCTCACGTACAGCGGATAAAATATACAGTTAAGAAAAAGATGTTATTAATTTTATTATTATTTTTTTAATAAAACTAATAAAATATTACCAAAAATATTATTATTTTTATAAATTTTATTATTATTAAATTCTTTACCGATTTTATTAATATATCAGTAAAGTATTATTGATTTTGTTATTTTTTCTATTAATTTTGTTATTATTGAACATTTTACCAGAAATGTTAAAAAATCTTATATTTTAAGTAAAATAATAATGTTTAATGTATTTTTTTACCGATTTTATTAAAAAAATAATAACAAAACCGATAATATATTTCCTTAAACGTATATTAACACTTTCCACTGTATAAGTTCTCCGCAAAATATACGAGAAATGAACATCAATGAGGTTAGCAAATATATATCCTTTTTATGAAGGAAAATTGAAAGATAGCACAAAGGGTGATCTGATTTTAACCACAATTTTTCATTTCAGGTTTTTGGACCACCAAAGGCACTGTAATCTATGGCTGTCGTGAATTCAAATTCACCATAGCCTGAAAAGAAAGAAAGGAAAAAAAAAGAACCACTCACTGTCGCAGGTTCCAGAAGACACCCGATAAGATTGAACACATCACTGCAACAAAGAAAACAAAAGGGGATTAATCGTACAAAACCATAAACAAAGCTTGTAAATGAAAAGGAAAAAGAAAGCGAACCCAGCAACCCAGGTAAGGAGAAAAAGGAGGGAAACGCCATGGCCGGACTTGGTTTTGAAGTTGGTGATGATTTGAGGGATTTCTGCAACTCCCCAGCACACTAAACTGATAATTCCGAAACCAAAAGAGAAATCATCTCTTAGACTGCAAAGACAGTCTTTGAAGTATCTCTGAACCCACCCAACGCACAGCTTGTTCTCCCTCACACAGTAAGGTTGAGACATGGCTAACTTATCTTTTCTCAGCCAAAATAATGGATACAATGTCCAAGTTAGTGATTTCTGGGAAGAAGAGCCATTATATTATATACCAGAAAAAGAGGTCCAAAAGCATGTATAATTATATTAGTAACGCAGCAATAAGTACTTTAGTCGTAAATGAAGTATGATACTCCTTGAAGTTAGGGTGAGTCGATGAAGTCAAGTCAAATTGATGAATATTATTTTATAATTCGAAGTTAATTTAATTTTTTTAAAATTTTATTTAAATTTAATTGTAAATATTTATAATATAATAATATTATTTGCTTCCAATTTGAATAGTATTTTATAATCATATACCATGCCTATATGTTTTTTCGTATTTTTTTTCATATGTGATTTACATATTGTAGAAATCAGAGTAATTCTCTGTAATTTCTTATTCTTTTCAATATGACAGATTACATATTTATATACAAAATATCTCTCTAAAGTAGGAAACTCTAAGAAAGGAAAAATAATAATCCTAGGATATGATCCCTTAAAATAAGGGATTGCATAAATATATTTACAAAAGCATATCTCTATAGGAATGGTAACAAATCATATCTCTATAGGAATGGTAACAAATCATCTCTATAATTCCTACACTCCCCCTCAAGCTGGAGAATATACATTGTATAATCCCAGCTTGAATAGGAATTTATTGAAAACAGGCTTTGGCAAAGCCTTAGTAAGAATGTCTGCAACTTGTTCTTCTGAAGGAATGTATGAAAGTGTGGCTGTCTTTTTGTTAACTTGATCAGCAATAAAATGCCTATCAATTTCAACATGTTTTGTCCGATCATGTTGAACTGGGTTCTTGGCAATTTGTATAGCAGATTGATTATCACACAAAACTTCAAAGTGATCCTCTTGATTAGTGACAAGTTCTTTCAGTAGTTTAAGTAGCCAAATTCCTTCGCATATTCCCAATGCTAGTGCTCTAAATTCAGCTTCAACACTACTTCTTGAAACAACAGATTGTTTCTTACTTCTCCAAGTTGTAAGGTTTCCCCAAACAAAAGTGCAGTAGCCACTAGTGGATCTCCTTTCAGTAAGGTCTCCGGCCTAACTGGAATCTGTAAAGATCTTAACAGTTCTGTCTTGTGTCTTCTTAAACATTAAACCGTGTCTTGGAGTTTTTTTCAAGTACTTGAGAATTCTATTTGCTGCTGCCATATGCTCTTCAGTAGGATTAATCATGTGTTGACTTATCACATTTACAGGAAATGCTATATCTGACCTTGTCAAGGATAAATAAATTAGTTTCCCAACTAATCTTTGAAATTTCTCTTTGTCTACCAAGGACCCATCTTCTTTGTTAAATTTCAAGCTTGCCTCCATTGGTGTATCAATCGACTTACAACCAAGAAAACCAATTTCTTTGAGTAAATCAAGTACATATTTTCTTTGGTTGATCACAAGTCCTTCTTTTGACCTTGCCATTTCCATTCCTAGGAAATATCTTAGCTTTCCCAAGTCTTTGGTTTCGAATTCCTTATTTAACAACTTCTTCAAATTGCAAATCTCTTCTTCATCATCTCCGGTAAGAATTATGTCGTCCACGTACACAATAAGGATAGCTTTCTTATTTGTAGAAGTTACTTTGATGAAAAGAGTGTGATCGGCGAGGGATTGCTTGTAGCCGTTTTTTAGGATGACTTTAGTGAACCTCTCGAACCAAGCTCTGGGTGATTGTTTTAACCCGTAGAGAGACTTGTTGAGCTTGCACGCCTTGTTACTTCCTTCAACAGACTTTAAGCCAGGTGGCAACTTCATATAGACTTCTTCTTCTAGCTTGTCATTAAGAAAAGCGTTTTTTACATCAAGTTGGTGTAATTTCCAATCGCAATTTACAGCCAAACTTAGGAGTACTCGAACAGTATTCAGCTTCGCCACAGGTGCAAAAGTTTCTGTGAAATCTATCCTATATGTTTGTGTAAAGCCTCTGGCCACTAGTCTCGCTTTGTATCGTTGGATGCTACCATTTGAGTTATACTTTACAGTAAAGATCCATTTACAGCCAACAACCTTTTTTCCTTGAGGAAGGTTCGTAACAGTCCAAGTAGAATTTTTCTCCAATGCACAAATTTCCTCTTCAATAGCCCTTCTCCATTTTGAATCCTTTAGAGCTTAAGCTATGCTTGTGGGAACCTGTTCTTTATCCAAGTTTGCTGTAAATGCTTGAAAAGACGGCATCAATGAATTATAACCAGCAAATTTTTCAATAGGATGCTTGGTGCACTGTCTAACCCCTTTTCTAATAGCAATAGGGAAGTCATCTAGAGTGGAGGAAGTGGATTTACTGATTTCTTCTTCTATTTCGGCAGCTGGACCCAAATCCAATTCTTGACAAGCATCAGATTGCAAAACAACCTCAGGAAATAGTTTTCTTTTACTTGTATAGAAACGGAGCTGTTTGATTGGTGTTGTTTGTGGAATATTTTGAATGGGAGTAGGTGTATTTTCAGGAAGGGTATTTAAAGTGGGTATGGGTGAAGTAGTAATAGGTACTACCGGTGGATCAATGGAAGTAGTTACAGGTGACAAATTTGTAGGTAAGGATAAAATTGGTGGCAATTCTGAAGGTTGAGAATGAAGAGTAGGAGGAGATACCTGATGTGGCTGAAAATCCTTCCATGTCTCCCCCTGAATTTCAGCCTGAGTGAAATAGGGATCCTGCTCATAAAATGTTATATCCATAGTGGTAAAAAATCGTTTTGAAGGAGGATGATAGCATTTATAACCCTTCTTAAGTGAAGAATACCCAACCAGTACACACTTTAATGATTTAGGATCTAACTTGGACTTATTAGGAGCAATGTTTTGGATAAAAACAGTACAACCAAATATTTTAAGTGGAAGAATGGAGGAGATAGTTTTAAAATGGGGAAAGTATTGTAAAAATATAGATTGAGGTGTTTGAAATTGTAAAACCTTACTAGACATTCGATTGATTAAATATGTGGCAGTTAATAAAGCTTCCCCCCACAAATATTTTGGAACATTAGTGGTAAATAGAAGAGAACGAGTAACTTCAAGGAGGTGTCTATTTTTTCTTTCGGCAATACCGTTTTGTTATGGGGTGTCAACACAAGAACTAATCTGAACTATGCCCTTTTCCATGAAAAACGCACCTAAAGACTTAGCAAAAAATTCACTGCCATTATCAGATTTAAAGAGTTAAATTTTAGACCCAAATTGAGTGAGAACCATGTTATAAAATTGGGTAAAAACACCTGCAGTTTCAGATTTATCTTTTAGCACATAAGTCCAAGTTATCCTACTGTGATCATCAATGAAAGTGATAAACCACTTACAATTATCAGCATTCTTCACCCGAGAAGGACCCCAAATATCACTGTGGATCAAAACAAAAGGATGAGAAGGCTTATATGTAGCAGGAGAATAAGTTGATTTAGTATGTTTGGCAAGAGAGAAAACTTTGCAAGAAAAAAAATTTGGCCTTTTATGAATGAATAGAGCAGGAAAAACTTTTGCAAGATAGTGAAAACTAGGATGACCTAAACGATAGTGCCATAACATAACATTATCAACTTTTTCTAAAGCGGTGAAAGATTTCGAGATTTCAGTTTTAGTAGAGGCAGGAAGAATGTAGAGACCATTCTGCAAGCTGGCCTTACCAATCATCTTCTTCGGGTTCAGTGCCTGCAAAGTACAATCAATATCATTAAAAATTGCAGAGCAGTGCAAGTCGGTGGAAAGTTTACTAACGGAAACGAGATTGCAAGCCATATTTGGTACGAAGAGGACATTTTTAAGTACAATCTGGTCATTGAGAATAACAGTGCCATGTCCTTCTATTTTGCACAAAGAACCATCAGCCGTTTTGACAGCTTTACCAAAGTTTGGAAAAAAATTGCAAAACAAATCTTTATTACCAGTCATATGATCCGTAGCACCAGAATCGAGGATCCAATTAGGGGACGACTGGGAGGAGAAAAAAACTGTAGCATGAGGTTTACCTTCTGGTTATTTCATGACCAGATTACCTTCTGATTGAGCAGCAGAACCAGAAAAAATTTCTGGATTTGAAGTGATCTCCGGAGTAGGAGAAGAAGTTGTGGACATCATCTAAGTTGGAAAGAAACCGTAACCTAAGCTGATACCATGTAGAAATCAGAGTAATTCTCTGTAATTTCTTATTCTTTTCAATATGACAGATTATATATTTATATACAAAATATCTCTCTAAAGTAGGAAACTCTAAGAAAGGAAAAATAATAATCCTAGGATATGATCCCTTAAAATAAGGGATTGTAGAAATCTATTTACAAAATCATATCTCTATAGGAATGGTAACAAATCATATCTCTATAGGAATGGTAACAAATCATCTCTATAATTCCTACACATATACCATAAAAAGTCGTGGGACTCGACTTAAACTTGAAAATTAATCTATTAATTACTAAAAATTTCGAGTTATTCAAGTTATTTAAGTTGTATTCTACAACTTGATTTGAACTTGAAATTTTTTCGGGTCGAGTTGAGTTTATGAAATTACAACTCGAAGTAAATTCAAGTCGAGTCAAGTTTTGCTCACCCCTACTTAAGGTCTCAGGTTCGAGCATAAAAAATATCATAGATATGAGCTTTTAACATTAAATAATTGAGAGCTATCTTTAAATAGATATTGTAACACCCCCAACTCGTACCCGACCCGAATATGAGTATGAGGTGCCACATTGACTTTTCAAACTTTGACTCTTAAGAAAAATCAATGATTTTTACGTCATTGAGCCAAAGGTCCGTAACAATAGGACCTTCTTCGGCTTCTCCTTTAAAATCTGGTGCTCCTAAACCCTTTAACTCATTCGCAATGTTCATTCTCGGAGTTGAAGTAGCAGGAGGTTGGAAACGCGCCAATATCGTGTCCAATGTCCTAAAGAATACATCTTGATAAACTACATGCACTTCAGAAGGTGTATGTTCTTCACATTGCCTGGCTAGGGCAGGTGAATTGCTGCTCTCAGCGGACCTATCGTCTCCCAATTCACTTCTAGAACTATCATGTCTGAACATCTATAAAAACATAACCATATCGTTCTATTAGCAAAACAACA